GAAACAATATTAAACGAGCAAAATGTCTGCAGGAGCAGGGATAAAAACAATCTAAGTAGACTTTATTTTACAATGAGAAATAGATGTTGTCAATAATCAGTAAATTTTGGTAGAACGAAGAAACCATATGCAGGTAATGATACTTACACAATACAAATAACCTGTTATGAGAACTAATCAGAAATATTTTCCCTGAGAAAACCTTTTAGACTAATGTTAGATTATAAACTTTTCACATCAAATCTGTCCTTATGCCAATATAAGTGGCTAAAGGCATGAGACCGAGTAAGTGGCATAAGAGCGTTACCTTGTAGATTCATAGCAAACAAACCCGGTTACTCGATTGGCTCAAAATTGACATTATCGCCTGCTCGAGAGTACCCCAGACACTTTTTTTTGACAGTATATCGCTTTTGTTTAAAGTAACAAAGAGATACGCGCACAACATCAGTTTACATCACTGGTTGATCATGCATAATATAGGTGTAGCTAATGATACACATTTTTTGTTTTATCTTCTCTTTTAGAGTAGAAGAGACAAAAGAACACATACCTTCAAGATAAGAATGTATTATATGTTAATGTAAAGCACTTCAGTAATATTCACAAAATAACAATGTCGGTGTCCTGTGTACCATATTACTGGGCTACTGAGCTATCTACTGCTGAACAAGAGCAACCATTATTACGTGTATCTGTTTATCAATGTCGATCAATATTAAACGACTTAAATAAAACATTACATCTGATATCACAAAAAGCATATGAAGCAAAAACTATTTATGCATCACAATTATTAATATTTCCAGAATTATTTTTATCCGGTTATGATCTACCCTATGATAAAATGTTAAATATAAGTAAACAAATTATTACTGAACAAATAATGGAACGAATAAAACAAATAGCTATTAAAAATTCGATAGCTCTGTTAATATCATATCCAGAATTGATTAGTGATGATGATCAACAAACAATATACAACTCATCATGTCTAGTCAATTCTAACGGTGAAATTTTATTAAATTATCGTAAAACACATTTATGGGGTAATAATGAAAAAAATATATTTAGCAGTGGCAATGATTGTTATCAATTATGTGAATTAAATTCAGTTAAAATAGGTATTCTGATATGTTATGATATAGAGTTTCCTGAACCAATGAGATGTTTAACATTGATGGGTGCACAATTAATTCTGGTACCAACAGCATTAGCCAAAGATATATATAATATAAATGTTGATATAACAACGAAAGTGATAGCAACACGTGCTATGGAAAACCATGTATGGATTGCCTATTCGAATTTTTATGGTTTGTACTCAAAAGAAGAATCAACACTTGAATATTGTGGTCTGTCTTGTATTGTTGGTCCCGACGGTAAAGATCTATGTCGTGCAACAGACAATAATGACAAAGATGAATTAATGACAGCTGAATTGTGTCCACAACATTTCAAAGAAAACTTACGTGGTACACCTTATTTAGCTGATAGACGTACAGATATGTTTCAATTGATAGCAAATACAAATATGAAATTTGCATTACCCGATAATTATTCATATCATTAGCCAAGGATGACTAAAACAAAATTTCAATTTCTTTTGCTAATTGAATACATTTGTTTAAATAAAATTGACAATGCTATAACTAGGTATGCACCAGTTACAGCTTTTTACTAGTTAAATGTACTTGTAAAGCTATGAAACTGCTGATAACTGTAACTGTGACTGCTCATAACTGTAGGCAAATATTCCAGAGTGAGTTAGTCTTGCACGATTTGAATACATTTTAAGAATGTCTCTACTCTTAAAACGTATGCAAATCGTACAAGACTAACCCACTTTAGTTATATGTGCCGACAGTTACAGTTTTACAGTTTTGACAGTTATGGTTCTACAATTTTACAGTTAACTGTAACTGGTGCGTGCCTATCTATAACACACTGCAAACAGGTTTATTTAACTCGCTTATTTTCTTTGGTGACATTCAGGTCTTATTAAAGTATGAGGAAAAGTTACCTTGGAAACTGTTGAGAAACTATATTATTACTGAAAAGCGAGTTTGACGACATGCATAGCAATGTCGAAGGAGATTTTTGATGGTATGGGTTTAGGGATGTGTCCAGGACGTGATGATATCACTTGTAGATAGCCATGGATGCTAAGAGTTCTTCCAGAACAATATTACGCATTTTTTCCTCTAATTCGAAATAAAATCGAAAAAACTACAATCCCAACGTTGTCATTCTCAAGATGATACTTCTTTGTCGGCCATTTAATTCATTTTGCTCAGACATCGTCAAAAAAGCAAAATTAAGATCATTCTTTGTAATGCGATTCATGGATGATTTTAGTCTTTCGTAACATCGTTCGATTTTTTTATTAATATTGTCACGAATTTGCTCGTCATTAACGTGTTGCAGATTTTTGACCGCAGACAGAACGCCTGTAACAGTTTTTTCCAGTTGTTGACTATTAAATTCACTCTGTTCGAATTTTTTTGCTAGTTGAACTGTCGTCTGAGTGACATCATACAGTGAACCTTGAACGGTGGCAAACTTCTGTGAAAAGTCTAACATCGTGTTCTGTAACTGATCCATCCGATCCGACAATTTCTGATTTGTAACAGAGTTGTAAACACCGATGCCACCGCCAACCATTGCTTCGATAACACCAACGAAACCCAATATAAGAGATAGTAATCGTTTTGATCTATTATGCGTTTCGGCTTCACTCCAGTTATCAGAAGATAATGTTCCATGTTGATGATGGGACTGAGAAAGTTCCAGAAGTCTGGCGTGATGTTTTTGACACATTACTATTTTGTTTGACAGTTCCATAGATATTAACGGACACATGTGTTCGGTTATTGGAACAGACATTGCAATAGCAAACATATCATCAACTTCAAAATATTTTCCGATCTTTATTAAAACGACCCCAGACGTTTCATCGACGATTAACGGTTCTTCTCGAACAATATGATTAAAAATTAAATCCTTCTCACCGCCGACAAGAAATATCCCATGCATCAATAGCTTAATAGCAATGAATACAATACTCGTCTGTTTTGTAACAGCCATCTAATTCGATCGTTGACAACTATTGCATTTATAATTTATGAAAATAGATTATATTTAGTACAAACTACTCGTCTTTTAATGATGTTTTATAAGAGTGATTTAACAATGATAAGATCAGGTGGATCGATTTCAATAAAAAATTGTTACGATTTGAGTTCGCAAAGGAATTCTATCCTTGACTGAGCTTATTATATACTAGACTGAAATGTAAGTGCTGTACAATGAGTATATATAGTGCAGAAGACAAAAGGAGAGTGATGAAATATGAAACGAGAGATGAGCAATGAGAGTGATAGAACTGAGTGACGAGGAAGTGAACAATGGAATATAGATAGAATATGACAGACTAAACAAGGAAATAGAGAGTGATGATGGCATATACATTTGAAACTTGTTTGCCGTCAGATGAAAGATGTTATCAACACAAAACTATTATACGATCATTTTCTAAATAATGTTTAATGGAATTAAAAAAAAATTCAGTAAGAAAGCGGGTGATACAGATAATCGTTGGGGTTTGATTGCAGGTACTGATGGTTTTTTGGCTGGTGTCAAAAAATTCGGAAACGGTTATCGTGATTTGGATCATGACTAAGTAGGTTTCAGATCAGAAGATTCAATTTGGGGTAAGTTAGCAACTGAACTGCAGATGGAAAACAACAAAATTAGTAGGAAATGGTTATGTACCGTTTGGAAAGGAGATCGACGTAACGTAAGATCCGTTTTCCTTCGGAGAGAAGGAAAAACGGACGATGAAGTTGCTACACATCAGCCGGATGCTAGTCGCACAATATCATTAAATAGTAATCCGTCGGTCGAAAGAATAAGAACTAGGGAAGCAAGCGCTCGAAAAACTACTGAAATAACTGACGTGACAAAAGCGCTAACCATAACATACGATGAATGGAAACGTGTGTATGACAAGAAAAACCATAAATTAATAGACGGCTGGACAAAACTTATCTATGATAAATTGTTAGATAATGGTGTCGTATGCTCGTTAACGTTCAAATACTGCCACTTGAAGTTAGAAGATTCCAATAAAAAGAATACTCCATTTTTTTTTGCACTTCTTCATGTTTGATAAAAAATGTGGTGTCTGTTGCTCCGTATCTCTACTGCCATCTAATAAAAGTAAGCATGCAGTTTTCGAACTGCGGGTACTACGTACAGTAAATCACAATCTGGAAGAAGATACTGCTGCTTGTCCAGTAACTGGTGCTGATAGAATAACTATGGATAAGTCTACATTGAAACTATGTGACCCGTAGTATGACATATCTGCATTGCAGGTAAACGTGCCAACGAAATGGGTCCATTACGAGTTTTTGAAGAGAATATTGAGAAAGCTAATCCGAGCTTGTTAGATGCTGGGAATTTTACTAGTTGTCCTACAATAACAGCCATAAAGGCTATGGCAGCTGAATATCGCCAAAAAAATCAGTTAGATCAAGATTATCACAACGAAGTCAGACTCTTGTCTCGTGCCTTGGATATTGCTGATACAACCTCCAATACTTTGAAAGGTAAAAAGTAAATAAGGTGTCGGAAATTCAAAACTCGCCCAGGAGTTTTTTCCATTTTATTTTCTCTTGGTCGAACTGAAACGGACGATGTGTGTTTCAGAAGTTTTGAAAAACTTGAATTTTTTTTTCGAATAATTTTTTTCGGAAATTCTGAAACAAACGTCGTTCGCAAGTGTTTGCGAAAACTGAGTGACTCAGGTTTGATGCGTGTTTCAAAGATGAAATTAGTTTTGCCAAAAAAATAATAACTAGATGAGCTTTATCCGACCATGAGGAAAAAACAATTATAAAACTTGCTCAGGTTTTGAATTTCCATCACCTTGCACTTCCTTGACCGTTACGTTCTACATTTAGTGCATGCTTTATAGGTTTCGTGCAAACACTTGCCATCAAGCCGTTCACTATTCACATGATAAAGGAACAACAAATAGCAATATTTTAAGCCTTCTCAATTTTAAACCTATACGAAAAACTGCATCGACTCGTACATAACTCAACATGTTTTGAATAAAAAGTTTTCGTCGTAATTTAGTATCCACAACACTGCACAAAACCCCCTTTGATAATTATCCGTATACCAGCAATTTGTTAGGCATCAGTATTCGTTGGCCTAAGTGGGGTATTCAGGACGGAATGATTGGGCAGTCGTGCTATCACGTACTTAACACCTGCGCTTTAGATTGTGGTCTGTTTTCATTTATGTCATGTATCGAACACGCCCATTATCATATGAGACTTCGATATGACTTTCTCACGCTTGAAAAAAATTACTTTTTATTTTTAAAAAGGTTAAGCTTTTCTAATTTAAATTTACAGTGAAAATTTGAAGAACATTATTTTTTCGAAAATTCTCGTGAAAAACCAAAGACCAAAGGTATCTAAGTTCAGACCATTGTGTTTGATGAAGTTGAGACAGAAAATGAGCTGAGATGGTGAAGAAAATCAAGAATGATCAAGCAACGGAGCCCGAAATCCCACCAAAATATGCCCTTTCGTTTTGTACCATCAGCAGCCTACCGTTTCCAACAAGGATTTATTCAGCTGACATAATTTGAAAGAGCACACCTTCCTACATATTTCTGAAAAGTCATTGAACAAATAGCCCTTTCTATATTCGGACCTACATTTAGAAAGATAAAGCTGATTTTTAGTTTGACTACGTAAGACATGAGAATAAGTCGGTTATGGTGGCAATGAGTCGTGCATATTGACATTGTCCTCATAATTTAATTTGCCAGTAAAATTGCAATGCCACTAATCTTCGCAAAATTTGCAATCCCCACCCTCAGGCAAATACTGATGCCTTCTATTTCATTACCACAAACGCTTGTTGCACTTGCCATAAATTCTCCACCAATCTCGGCGATAATGTTCTTGTCAAATTTTTAGATTCACCACTTGTGGCTGACCTCGGCTGCTAAATAGTAATGTTAATCAACGTCTCGAAGTGTACTTGGATGTTTGCAGCAGCGTGGTGAGAGAAAAAAGCAGGAGGGATGTCAATGTTTTTGGAAGATAGTCATAGAAGTCAGAAAACACAATTTTCTTTTATACATACATATCTATTGGTTATTATTTAATCTGTTAGCGACGGTGTTAAGATGTTTGTGGAGCATAAAATGCATGTCTATTAGTCTCGTGAATAAAGTAGAGGTAAAGAGGAGCACAGTGAATTGCAACCGTATATCTGTCGAAAATAACATCATTTGTTATCCTTTTGTGAAATAACTGAGTGCTCCACAGGTTTGATAATTACTTTACAAAATCCATTGGTCCTGTTGCTATGAAAATCCATCAATTTTAAAAAAAATTAATTGATTCAACAATAGATTAGTATATTGAAGGAAATAATGCGCACTTTTTTCTAAGACCTCACCTAATCACATCTCGATTCGAATACAATTATTGATAGATGTAACTGAATTGAGAAGTTTCATAGAAGAAAAAAAATGGAGATGCGGGGCATCTATCCCCGTGCCTTGCGCATGCAAAGCGCACGCTCTACCATATGAGCTACACCCCCATGTCTGTCGTTCTGTTACTTTGAGGCCTGTCCGATCCGTTAAGACGTCTCTACGTCTCGTAGCGAGATACGTCTTTAGGTTTCGTAGCGAGAGTAGCTAATCCGTGCATAATAGAAAAACACCAGTAATACAACATAGTTATTGTGTTAAAAGTATAAGTACTTTTAACAGAAAAGTTAATAATAAGAAAAACAGAGAACGTTATATTCGGAGAGAAACATATAAATTTGAAACTAGATAGCTATGAATACGCTGCCAAAAGGCGTTAAAGCAACATAATTGGTGCCATTGATATCGATCATTTTGAGAGGCCGAACGTATTTCAAATTCTTCGGCGCAACAGTGCCAAATATTTGTGTGATGACGACTTCAAACGCACGTGTTTGTTCATTAAATTGAATGGTTTTTAAAAATCGAATAATGAATTTTTTGATAATGATTAATGATTTTTTCAATGTTGGTGTTTGATCACGAACGAAAATGTTAGCTATTTGAACGAACTTGGGTTTATCATCTGACAAGTAATCGTTGGTTGCATAAAGAACGGTGCCAATCGCATAATTGGTACCGTTGATCTTGACAATTTTAGCTGTGTGTGTAGGAGACATTGGCAGATCAAATTGTGCACCGTCGGATAATGTATCGCCTGAGACAGGTTTCACATATTGAAGAATTGTTGCATTTCCCAAAACACAAGACAATAATGACCCATCACTGTTGTAGTCTTTTGTACATTCCCATGCTTGATGATGTTTGGCACACGTTTTAGGTAGATTTTTAAAATTGCGGTGTTTATTTCCTAAAAGACAAAAATAAAATATGTAATGTAGCGGTTTTTGTATGGGTACCTTTGAAAAACTGGTGTGTACGCTCCGATGCTAAACATTGTGTGTATTTTAGTGGCCCAAAGCGTCGCATTTGTTGTGGTAGATGCAACAAAAAGTGGAACTTGGGTTTCATGCTGTTTTCACTGTATAAATTTTTAAATAAATAATTATGCCATATAGTACATCGTTGTAACTGATTCACCGTTTCTTGATCGACCTCGGATGCATAAACTAAATTCACGATGTCCACGAGAAGTAATACAGCATCGCGCACTTCGAATATTGCATTATGAATCAACTTTTTGACAATGTATGGCAAATTCACGATTAAATGATAGACTTGGATTGCATCTAATGGTATACCTGATGTAGAAAAACATTTCCATCCATCGCCGCCCCAGTAAGTTACTAATTAATTACCACCGCTTGTCTGAGACGTTAGGTCTTCAGTGGTCATATTCTAATGTGGCTTGGTGTACGTCCAGCGATACTATATTCAAATGCATTGACTGTCGTACAAAACTGATCTATACTGCACAGATTGTTTTGAAGACAATGTTTGAGGAAAACGTTTAGGAAAAAATAAAATTTCCTAATAAATAGAAGAACAAATTCAATGTACGATAAGATGTTGCATGCATTAAGAAAAATAAATAGACAAATTACAAATAAGACGAACCTTGCAACAGAACATGCATTAGGCCAAATAGTACTTGCATTGTAACATCAAAATGTGGCAAGGTTGGGAAACTGCTTCGCTTGTTTATGCCATGGAATTTTCGCCAAAAATCTGCTAGAACTTTGTTCCCTCCGCATACCATAGTTTCAATTATTTGACACGCATCGTTATAATCGTTCAAAGCACAATCGACTGGAATCTAAATTAAAGATAAACAATTGTTCATCTGTAATTATCATCAGCTGATTTCTGCAGTTTGTTCTTCGCAGATTTTAGTAAAACCACCGTTAAAAACACCGTGTGGTGTGGCAAATGCTCCGTCATGTACGTCAAACATTACACGATTATGTGAGATAGCAGAACACTCCACATCAACTTGTACTTCTGGAAGCGATAAAAAATGTGCTAGACTCTGAAGAAATGGAACAAAATTCCATTTAATGTTCGTGAAATTATTGTTTTTCAGCGATATCTAAGACAAACATATTTAGAACAAGAAAAATATCAGGAAGATTGTTGACTTACCAAAGCGCTCTCACTTCGTGGAGTACAATAGCCAAAATATTTACCAACGGCTCGCAAACGATTGCTTTGTAGCCGATAGGTCTCTCAAAAAAGTTATTGCTTCCGCAACAAGCTACAGAACAAAGTACATATAGGAGGCTTAGTGATTCTCTTCACTCAACTTTGAAGACATGAATCTCACTTGTTGATGTTGTAACATCCATTCAAGAACATCAGCTAAATTTGTTGCAACGTAAGCAATCGCTGCTTCAGACACATAGAATACCGCCTGAAGAGTAAACAGAAAATGCAAAATTCTCATTATAAACATTGTTCTTCTGCCTGCAACAAATGTTGCTGGTCTGAAAGGGAGCGAGCTTCCATGAGAGGGAGATGTTCATCATCAACATAGTTGTTGTCTAGTTGAGGAAACTCATTATAATTGTCACTATCATCGTTCACATCATTGTTATTTTGAGCTCGAACATGCTGTTTATGTTTCTGAGAAACATGCGATGAAAAACTTATGACATTTGACAGAGTAGAATTACATAGTTGACATGTTATCAACATTTGCTTCTTGGTGCTGTGCGCGTTAGTTACATGTGTCAAGAATTTTTGCAACTGAGATGTAGAATAGCCACATTCAGGACACATAAAATTCCAATCTGTCATCTGGAACAAAAGGATAGAGCAAGGCTTCAATGAGCGCTGGACAACTTAGTTAGCGATAGATTAATAGACGTTGCATTGTTTAGAAACAACGAGCAGAATTCAGATGAAGCGTGCTAAAGTAAAGGAAAAACTATCTAGAATTTCAACGTAATTCAAACACTTCTGTATTTCATAAGTAAATAAATTGATGTCTATTCGTATATATTTTTGCGTTTATGTATATAACAGCAAGTTTTCTTAGTGTTATTTGACATATATGTCAATCACTACAAAGAAAACATTTCTCATTGGACAACTTTGCAATTTTTGAAAAGGTTATTTCATATTGAGAAGAAAGATTCAAAGATTTTTGAAAACAGCGTTATAGCTAGGCCATAGAGGTCGTTACTTGTCGCAAAAATGAATACTGAAAATGAGTATGTACTAGGGCTGGCTGTTTACCATTTCTGTTACTAGTAACAAGGAACAATTTTGTTACTTGTTACTAGTAATTAGTAATAACAGATGCAAACTTGTTACTTTGTTACTAGTAACCACTCACAACTGCGTTACTTGTTACTAGTAAGAAAGTAACACATGTGTCACAGTGGGCAATCATGTGGACATCAGGCGAAAAATTGAAAGTATGCTTTTTTGAAATTCAAATATTGCAACATGTACATGTATTTATTGGTGTTAAAATTTTTCAGGCAAGTGCAGAAATTTCGTAAAAAATGCACAAGTAAAAAGGAGCTTGTATATCTGCGACCTTTATGGAAAAACAATATTTTTCTTAGATTTGACAGATTTAATACTTATTTAAACGTATGTATTCGGAATCTACGAACTTTTAGCTATCGATTCCGAATAAAATGCAGTGTTTGCGGACTTAATTGTCTGTAAATCAATTTTTTCTTTCCACGCTATATGTCATCCAAATGGCTGTTCTTCAGTAAAATAAGCGCGCCATCGTTAACCATCATCCAAATTCGACGAAACCCCTCACCCTCACAGAATATTCTTCTATTCACAATACAACTATAGTGCATGTCCAAAAGTGCCCAAATGATTCTGAACCGAGTTATACGTTTTCCAAGAAACCCTTCATTTTTTAAAGTTTTTTAAAGATATTTTATAATTTTCTCGGTCCAGAAACACTTGGCTTAGGGCTTAGCTCAGAGATTTCAATTGTGAGGACCTCCTCTGGCTCTTTACGTAGTTTCGAGCAGCCGCAAAGCCTTTCTACCGAGGCCACAGTTATCGGCCGCTTGTTTCGTGGTTGTACCTGGTCTTCCACCATGCGAAAAGGCGGTTTACTGAGAGCGCAGGGGGACAACGATGTTCTAAATTCGTCCACATGTTAGTGGTCCCATGCATTACGGGATAGGAACTGAGTCCTCTAGGATGTTCCAGTGCGCCAGAATAGCCAGACTTGTGACCTTGCGTCGGTTCCTCTCTGATCTGATGTACTGGAGTATCTGCGAGCAGCATTTATTGGACTAGCGTGCATGGTTAGATCTTCCACGGAACGGTTAAGTTGTTTCCCTGGCGTCAATCAGCGGATGATTGTTATCTGTAGTCTCGCTGACGTTGGGGCCGTGGTTTGCTGTTCGGACTTGCTGTCAACTGCAAATGGCTAAAAATACAAACAACACCAACACAAAAACTGATAACAAAGAGAAAGAGACGGTTCGGACGATTAGTTTACATCGGCTGTACGATATGTTTCATAATGACTGTGACAAAAATGGGAATTCAATGGTTTCGAGAATATGTACACTGTTCCATATAGAAGAAGATGACGAAAATAAAACTACGATTTCAACTTTAATCCATACGCATACTATCACGAGAAAAGCTCAGTATAATGCGTGGAGTAAAAAGGACAATGAGCGGCGAGAAAACGAATTCGGAAAAATTGTACTTGATAAAAGCGAGTTAAACCAGCGACCAAAACCACCCAAACGTATAAGCCGAGATTTCAGCGAAGTAGGCAATAAACAAAAACGGCGGCGACTATCAGATCTGAATAGCGAACTCGACGATTTTGCTGCAGCAAATAATCTGTCTGTTAACCGAGTACTAGGATATTTACTTTATCAGCGCAACTATCTGGATAAAAAGGAACTGGCAGAAATCGGAAACCAACTATACGAAAACGGCGATACAAACAATACGAACAACGAGTTCGACCTCGATGAACTGTAGCATTTAAAACGCATCTCGATATAAGTCGAAATCAGTTGGATTTCGTTAAACCCTTTTGTAGTCCTTACATAAAAATTCCAAATCCAGAATATGTTCGAGCGCATTCCAAACAATTACTACCTATGATTGCTCCATGGAGAAACAACACTGGTGTCCTGATACAAGATCGAGAGTCGGTCATACATTTAATAGTAAAACGAATAATAGAAATGTTACAGAAACAAAACATAGATGTACCATCGAAACTAGAATATCGAGAGAAAACGGGCCATGACGATGCCGGGAATATGGCTATATATAGATCAGTAAATACGCCGATGGAAAATGCTAATATATTTAGCAAAGTGTTTGTTCCGTTGTCTCTTAAGGCTTCCACTGGCGAAGTATTATGGATGAACGAGTCACCGAATGGCTCGCACTGGTGTCGACCTTTGGCATTAATAGCTGAGAAAGAGTCTACAGAGTTATTATATTTCGTAAATGGCGCATTTGAGCCTGGAGAAAAGTGCTTACAGGAAGAAGGAACAATATTCGAGTATAATAAGACGAAATATGATTTAAAAATAACGATTGAAACGAGTATGAAAGATCTCAGTTGCGCACAATAGAGTCGGGGTTAGGCAGTGCCGATTGTCTTTTATGTACTACGCACCCTAACGAATGGAAAGATGTTGATAAAATTAAAAAATCGGATTTTTTTGCAATCAATCGTACAGCCGAATAAAAGCTCGATTTGTATTATCAAATGGTTAAAGACGACGGCGAAATCACGACCGGCGGTCAAGGACGAAACTTTTTCTCGTACGAAGTAAGAAATTCAATTGTTTCGACAGTACCTAAAGCGCAACAAGGTAACTTTGAACAATTAACTCAAATTTATTCAGTTATTTTACGAGTAATTTCGTCGACTGAACGAATTAATATAAAGAAGTTTAAGCAGCTAACACAGGGCTGGGCAACTCCGCTGACTTTCAACTCCAACTCCACTCCAACTCAACTCCGTTTTCAAATTTCCTACTCCAACTCCACTCAAAATTTTTGAACTCCAACTCCAACTCTCTCAACAAAAATCTCAACTCCAGTTCAACTCCGCGGCTTGTCCACGCGAGACTTCGCTGATCAAGTTTTTGAAAAAAATTATTTTAGAGTAGAACTGAGAGGAGCATATCACTAGATGCAGTTTCTAGCGCTGATTACGGATCTCACATTAGTTTTTTAAAAAAGTTAAATTTTGGCACGAAAAATCCAGTTTTATATTTTTTGAAAACTGTATTTTCAATTTCCTCACCTAGACACTTTTCCTAATAAAAATGGAAGACCATACTAATCGATGGAGAATTCGATTCTTTACATAATGGTATGTTTCTTTTGAAGTTTAGATTCAAAACAAGTTTTTAATAAAGTTTTAAGATTCTCACACAATTCTAAGAAAGTGAGAACATTTTTTCGACTTCATTTTCACCTTAGTCTATATCAGATGCCTAAAACTAAGTTCGCTGTGAAAATGAAATCCTTTGAGCAATGGTTAGTGCTCCAAACTTTGTTGGAAAAAACGATTGTCACAGCGTCACGACGATAAAACACACTTATTGAGCAATGAAAAGCTCTTTCGAAAGATTACTTTTTAGCAATTAGTAGCTCGTTTACTCCTCTACAAATTTTGCTCCAGGCGCTTTTATTAGCTCTTCTAAATTCGCAGCAAATAAGCTTTTAATGAGAAACGCTTAGAATTTAGGGTCTTTTTTTGTCACAGCGCACGCGCCGAAAAACGGTTCTAAAAATTCGAGTCTTTAACCACATACCTTCATCTTTATACCAAAAGTAGAGTATGGCGAGCTCCGTCGAATGGCGCAAGAACGAAGTTTCTAGCTGTTACACTTTTTGAGAAAAGCTCATATTACTGTGTCAAAAATGTTACAGCGTCAGGCTTGGACAAACAAGCCGTCCGGTTGCTTCACTTTTGTATGGAAGATTTTTCGATTTTTAGCAGGATTCTGGACGCTTTTGAGCTTTTTCCGGCAAGAAAGCGTAAAGAACTTCCGAATTCACTCGTGAATACAGCCACTCAGTCGTTTAGAAGACTAGTTTACAAC